GGGGGGTGATTCCACAGAGCAGACGGAAGCAGCCATGGAGTGCCTTTGTGCTGTCACTTTTTCTTGACCTTGGGTCTTTGGGGTCCATTTCTTGGCTTTTAAGTTGGAATGTGAAATTTTAACCCCTTTCTGTGGTGCGCTTTCATTAGAAACACAGTCTTAAATCAGCTGTACTCTTCACCCGGCATGAGCAGCTAGTGTAGACAAAAGGCAGGCCTTCCCACGTAGTTACCAGAAGCTAGTAAACCGCCCATGTGTGGAGCTGACAGGCCCGGCTCCGTGGGATCTAGACTCCTTAGCCCATAATGTCCCACAAATCATTCGCGTAGCTGCTCCTGTGTATTCTAAGTTAATAAGCAAGGCACGTGCACTTTCCAGGAGGGTCAGAACCTTCCAGGTGCAGAGGTGGGAACTGAGGCAAGGAATCTCGCACCCGCTTACGGCCGTGTCACCGCAGAGCAAGTGCTCGTTGTCATCAGAGCCACGGGTGTTTGCCGAGTGAATACCTAACACACACAGATTTCCCACAACATGAAGTCTTTTCTTTCCGCTCCAAACTGAACAAGCCTTTCGCTCAGTCTGTGGGCCCCTCCTTTACGTGGCCGTGGGCCACAGAGCTCGTGGCGGGACCCCTCGTGGGCCAGTCCTGCGCGGCTGGACTGTCATGTGAAAGCATTTCCTAGAGGTGAACACAGCCCCTTGGTTTAGATAGGCTTGCCCTCTGTTTCCTTTTCTGGATTTCATCATGGGCCTTTGAGCAATAAGACCAGTTAGTTGAATTCTGTGATTTGGACCACACAGTGCTGCCTGTTCCCTCTCATCTGCTGTTACGTCACCTGCTCTCGCAGGAACCCGTAAGGCAGGGGATACCCCACAGATTCTTTGTTAACTTAACAGTCCTCATGAGTTAAGCATCACAGACCGGGAAATCAAGGGTCACAGGGGTCGGGTCATGTGGCCGAACACAGCTGCGCGGGTGCAGCTCAGAGAACTGCTGTCGTGTCAGAGAACGTGACAACGTGACGGCATTTTACTGGGCGAGCCTTTGGTTCGTGCCGTCCCGCCCAGCCTCTGGTCACAACTGCACACCAGATCTGCCATGTGCATGATCGGTGGGGAACGGGGTCCCCACAGCCGAACTTCATGGCCTCTTTATGAGATAACGAAGAGGGACCTGGAGCCACGGGACCCGGCAGCAGCGCGGCAGGAGCCTCACGTCTGGGGTTCAGCCAAACGCGGGGAATGCTGTGTGCCCCCTTCTCACTTCGGGCCTCTGAGCGAGGGCCCCCTCCCCTGGGCTGCACGTGTGCCCTTTGGGCCTCCAAGGATGGTGAATGAATGCATGTGGCAATTATTATGCATATTACTGTAGCACACACGCACCGTATTGACTGAAACCTAGGTCTGAACCCCATCAGAAGTTAAAACTCTTCTTTTCCCTGCTCTCTGTGAGGTCAGCATTCAAAGCCGCCTGCAGGCGTTTGGGGTGTGGGCAAGACTTCGGGTCACTCCCCCCATCGGATCTCAGGACGCGGGCTTGTCCCGTGTTCACATGGGACTCCGGAAGGGAATTGAAAAGAAGTGCATTTGCCCCGCTTGTCGCCTTCTAAGCTCTTTGCTGGGGCCGTCTTGGGGGGTTTAGTCGGAGCTCTTCTCACCCAGGGTAACGCAGATGTGCTCTCAGTCACGCTTTTTCCTCTGCCGTTCCGCTTCATTGCGGTGAGTATTTCTGCTTTGTTCCAAGCACCCTGAAAAGGAAGGCTCCCTCTCCCTCTTCCTGAACAGTTTCTGTGGTTTCGGGGTGGGGTGCAGAGCTTAGCGCTGAGGCCAACCCTCCCTCTGTGGTTGGGGGGTGGGGGGTGGTTCTTGAGCAGA